AAGACAATATGGAGGAAATCGTCCGACAACTCATTATTGGAGTTATTGCCCTTTAATAATGATTTTCACCATTTTTATACGACCGCAAAAAAATTTTGTGGTCGTATATTGGTATGACGTTGGCGTCGTCTTCGTCGTCGTCCGAAGACACATTGGTTTTCGCACTCTAACTTTAGTTTAAGTGAATGGATCTCTATGAAATTTTACCATAAGCTTCAATACCACAAAAGGAAGGTGGGGATTGATTTTGGGGGTTATGGTACCAACAGTTTAGGAATTAGGGGCCAAAAAGGGGCCAAAAATAAGCATTTTTGTAACTTCCAGACATAACTTGTGTGTTAGTGTATGGATCTCTCTGACAGTGTACCACAAGGTTCCATATCACAAAGGGAATGCTGGGATTGAGTTTGGGGGTAATTGCCTCCAAATTTTAGGAATTAGGGGCCAAAAAGGGGCAAAAAACAAGCATTTTTCTAGTTTCATGACAATAACTTGTGTGTTAGTGTATGGATCTTTATGAAATTGTACTACAAGGTTCCATATCACAAAGGGAAAGCTGGAATTGATTTTGGGGGTAATTGCCCACAATGTTTAGGAATAAGGGGCCAAAAAGGGGCCAAAAATAAGCATTTTTCTAGTTTCCAGACAACAACTTGTGTTCAAGTGTATGGATCTCTCTGAAATTGTACTGCAAGGTACCATACCACAAAGGGAAGGCTGGGATTGATTTTGGGGGTAATTCCCTAGAAATTTGAGGAATTAGGGGCCATAAAGGGGCAAAAAAAACCAAGCATTTTTCTAGTTTCAGGACAATAACTTGTGTGTAAGTGTATGGATCTTTATGAAATTGTACTGCAAGGTTCCATATCACAAAGGGAAAGCTTGGTTTGAGTTTGGGGGTAATTGCCCTTAATTTTTAGGAATTTGGGGCCAAAAAACAAGCATTTTTCTAGTTTCCAGACAATAACTTGTGTTCAAGTGTATGGATCTCTCTGAAATTGTACACATACATATGAATCTCCCAACGGGAGTACAATAATCCCGTTTTCAGGGGTCTCCTCCCGACCTCCCTTTGAAGACAAAAAAATCCCGTGTATGAAATATTCCATGAATGAAAAAATTCAGCCCGACATATCTGGTGTAACTGACATTACCTGGAGTTATATTTTACCTGTAAATCAATTAACATGCATAATTATATGGCTTCACTTGTCACCTTGGGTGTCAAACATACTGGTAATCAACGATTTTTACCTCAGGCTAATTGCCGTTGTGTAATAAAACTTTGTATTTAAAATGAATGTTGGGTTACTTCCCTTGATTTATCCAGTTTTAAGTTATTTTCCTTTAAATAATGTAAATTTTTAAAAGAATATAAATAAAATATAAATTGAACAAATAATCATAAAAGGATGGTAATTAAATGATTTTAAATGTCTTAGGACAAATAAAAAAATAATAATTTGAAAATTATTTGAGGGGTCTATACTTCCTTTCAAGGCTTAAATTGAAATTTATATACTAACTATGACCAACAATTGTAGTTTGAATGTGTTACTGATCATGCAATAAAAATCTACTTGCATAATAAAGATAAAAAAAAAAAAAATCTACTTGCATAATAAAGATAAAAAAAAAAAAAATCTACTTGCATATAGATATAAAAGAAAGATCTACTTGCAGATAGATAAGCAAATGTTCTGATTGCAATGAATAATGGTAAAAAAGATATGACCTAAAAAAGAAGAATGTTAGATTGAACAAGTTGAAAGTTTAAAAAGATAGAGGAAATTTATAAGTACAAGGGTACTATAAACATAATACATTCGGATGGAAAGTTGAAGAAAACACACTTTAACAGACAATTTCTACAGCACACGGTTAAATTTACGACAGAATTTATGTTGATTAAAAATCTCCTGATCTGAGTCCTAATCTCCTGACCAAAATTTCCCAAACTCCTCATCACAGTCCATCACATGTATGTGTACTGCAAGGTACCATACCACAAAGGGAAGGCTGGGATTGAGTTTGGGGGTGATGAATCATAAGGGGGTTCAAAAAATTTGGGTTTTTTTTTTTTTTTTCCTTTTTTTTTCTTTAAAATTTTCCATTTTAAATTGGTTGTTTCTGATTTATATATATAAGCAAATAATAATGATATGGTTTGAATAGATAAATTAAAAATTTTTAAGTTCTTAGACCACATTCATTCTGTGTCAGAAACCTATGCTGTGTCAAATGTTTAATTACAATCCAAATTCAGTGCTGTATCAAGCTTGAATGTTGTGTCCATACTTGCCCCAACTGTTCAGGGTTCGACCTCTGCGGTCGTATCAAGCTGCGCCCCAGCGAAGCATTTTATTTTGTTTGTTGCCTTATATTATAAAAATTATAAAAGATAAATAGACACTTGAAATCAAAAAAATTAACAGCAAGTCAAGATCTACTAACAGGTCAAATTTTGCCAATATAGTTAGTAGAATGTCACTCTTTATAGGAATGATTGCCCTTAAATGAGGATTTTTTTAACCCTCTTTTGTGTTTTGAGCAAAAACTAAAAAAGATAGAGAGAAACTAAACAGACTAAATGATCAGCAATATAAGATCAACAAACAGAGATTTTTGTCATGAATTCTATTCTCATCTACAATGTTGGAAAGTGTCCTTTGTTGAATATGCACATAGAGCCTCTAGTTTATGGTCAAAAGAGAGTATTCCAAGCCAAATAATGAATATAATTTTATACAACCGCAAATTTTTGCAACTGTATAATGATATGACTTAGTCGTCGTCATTGTTTTTGGTTTCCAGACAATAACTTGAGTGTAAGTGTACTAATCTCTATGAAATTGTACCACAAGGTTCCTTACCACAAAACAAAGGTTGGAATTGATTTTGGGTGTTATGGTCCTAACCGTTTAGGAAAAAGGGGCCAAAAACAATACTTTTCTATTACTTTGTATGAATTGCTTATTTCTTGACCAATTTCAATGAGTTTTATTTTAAAGTCTTGAATTCTTTGGGTTCTTAATATGCTGAATTTAACCGTGTATTAAGATTTTGGATTTTGGGGCCTGTTTTTAAATTGGTCCACATTGAGGTCCAAAGGGTCCAAAATTAAACTTTGTTTGATTTCATCAAAAATTGAATTATCATGGTTCTTTTATATGTGTAATCTTACCGTGTATTGAGATTTTAGATGTTGGCCCCCATTTTCAAATTGGTCCACATTAAGGTCCAAAGGGTCCAAATTTTAACTTTGTTTGATTTCACCTAAAATTGAATTCTTGGGGTTCTTTGATATGCTGAATCTGAACATGTATTTAGATTTTTGATTTTTGGCTCAGTTTTCAATATGGTCCAAATCGGGGTCCAAAATTAAACGTTTGTTTGATTTCAACAAAAATTTAATATATGGGGTTCTTTTACATGCTGAATATAACAGTGTATTTAGATTTTGGACTTTGGGCCACATTATCAAATTGGTCCACATTGAAGTCCAAAGGGTCCAAAATTAAACTTTGTTTGATTTCATCAAAAATTGAATTCTTGGGGTTCTTTTACAGCTGTATCTAACCATGTATTTAGATTTTGGATATTGGACCATAATAGTTTCATGTCCCAATTTAAAATTTTCAAGTTTACCACATTCATTCTGTGTCACAAACCTATGCTGTGTTAAATATGTAATCACAATATAAATTCAGAGCTGTATCAAGCTTGAATGTTGTGTCCATACTTGCCCCAACTATTCAGGGTTAGACCTCTGCGGTTGTATCAAGCTGCACCCTGCAGAGCATTTTATTTTTCATTTTAACTGGATTTTCGAAGGAAAAATAGGTTATTGATTTGGGGATGTACTGCGGGCGGCTGCCAAACAGTGTCCGTTCATTAACATGAAAATGCTTTGTCAAAATCTTTTCAAATTTAGATATGTTTCCTGTGACTAAATGAAGGTCAAGTTCAATTTTCTTGATTTTTAGCTTTTCTGGTTGTTGAATTTAAGCCCTTTTTAGTAGCCAAAAGTGGTACTTATTATGTGATTGGGTTATTTCCCTTTAAACAAAAATGGTTAATTATATATATAAAGTTTGATTACACTAAGTGTTTTTAAATTATTTTCACCTGTTATCAGATAATATAGCATGTGATAAATATCACAGAATTATAATTGGAGTGACAGATTTATTTGAAAATTTTCTGTTTCTTAAGTGTTGATGATTATAAGCTCTGTGCTCTGTAGGACTGTATAAATATAGTTAGAAATTTACTGTTCATTATTAGACATTTTGAAGATAATTACAGATAAGTTTCATAGATTTTTAAAAGACATTGTATTAATGATAAATGACATTTTGGATTTTTCTTTTCTTTTCTTTGGTAAATTGTTTGAAGAATTTTGTGGTAGGTTTGTTTGTTATTCTGTATAAATTATACTATTCTGAATGCTATATATATATATATATATATATTTTTTTTTAAGGAAGTGAACTCCTTTAAAAAACTAAGCTTATATTGTCTATTAATAAACATAATTATATGATTCTAGCAATGTACTTAGATTTTGGATATTGGACCATAATAGGTAAATGTCCAATTTCAAATTTTTCAGTTCTTTGACCATATTCATTTTGTGTCACAAAACCTATTGCTGTGTCAAATATTCAATCACAATCCAAATTCAGAGCTGTTTTAAGCTTAAATGTAGTGTCCATACTTGCTCAACTGTTCAGGGTTCGACCTCTACAGGAAATCCGGTTTGCTGTCACTCTGACAGCCTCTTGTTCAGTATTTTACTGATAAAAGGTATTTTTTTGCATTTAACATGTAGATACAGTGTGGAGTTAAAGTATGTTAGACACCAATTGCTTTGTCAAACCTTATAAAATTGTATGAAATTTTATTTGATGTATTTTACTTATAGATAAGAATCTGCTGTTGAAATTTTTTCCCAGTAATGTGTATTACTGATACTATTTATTTTGCTTTTTTTCTAGTCAAAAGAAAGACTAATTGCAAGTCTAAGAGAAGGCTCAGGAGCGTCAGGGGAATCTGTTGGTGTGTCAAATCTAGAGTATGATTCTGTCAAGCAGGAGAGAGATATGTTTAGGGAAGAATTGCAGCATTCAAAGATGACAGCTGAAAACCTAGGATTAGAGCTGCAGGTTTGAATAAATGAAGACGTGAATATAAATCAGTGAGACAGAGACGCAATGAAAAAAATAAGTAAAAGACATCTAATGGGCAACATGCAGTCTTCAACAATTAACAATAGACAGATGTCTATGCAATATGTCAAGCTCTAACTAATGCAAGGATCTAAAAAAAGATGTGAATGAATTAAACAAAAACTTTCAAAGATCTGCCACATATAGTTGCAAAAGAGTATAATATTTTGGCTTGTCCATCTGCCATCATTTGTCACTTTCCTATCCTTTTATTTCTTTTTATTGTTTATGTCCACTTCAAATATAAAAAGTATAAATGAATGTTGTCTTAGTGTGACCTTTTATGATTTTGAATATCAAACAGATTTGATGCCTTATTTTGTTTACTGCAAGTTAAGTGTAATTATGAAAAACTTGAACTTGTTGCTGGATTAGTGACTATATATTAAACAAGAACTCAGAATTTGGGTGACCTATAAGTGTTTTTATACGACCGGAAAAAATTTTGCGGTCGTATATTGGTATGACTTTGGCGTCGTCGTCGTCGTCCAAAGACACATTGGTTTACGCACTCTAACTTTAGTTTAAGTGAATGGATCTCTATGAAATTTTACCATAAGGTTCAATACCACAAAAGAAAGGTTGGGATTGATTTTAGGGGTTATGGTACCAACAGTTAAGGAATTAGGGGCCAAAAAGGGGCCAAAAATAAGCATTTTTGTACCTTCCAGACATAACTTGTGTGTTAGTGTATGGATCTCTCTGACATTGTACCACAAGGTTCCATATCACACAGGGAATGCTGGGATTGATTTTGGGGGTAATTGCCTCAAAATATTGGGAATTAGGGGCCAAAAAAGGGGCAAAAAACAATCATTTTTCTAGTTTCATGACAATAACTTGTGTGTAAGTGTATAGATCTTTCTGAAATTGTACTACAAGGTTCCATATCACAAAGGGAAAGCTGGAATTGAGTTTGGGGGTAATTGCCTAAAACGTTTAGGAATAAAGGACCAAAAAGGGGGCAAAAATAAGCATTTTTCTAGTTTCCAGACAATAACTTGTGTTCAAGTGTATGGATCTCTCTGAAATTGTACCACAAGGTTCTATATCACACAGGGAATGCTGGGATTGATTTTGGAGGTAATTGCCTCAAAACATTAGGAATTAGGGGCCAAAAAAGGTGCAAAAAACAAGCATTTATTTTAGTTTCAGGACAATAACTTGTGTGTAGGTGTATGGATCTTTCTGAAATTGTACTACAAGGTTCCATATCACAAAGGGAAAGCTGGAATTGAGTTTGGGGGTAATTGCCCAAAACATTTAGGAATAAGGAGCCAAAAAGGGACCAAAAGTAAGCATTTTTGTCGAGCCTTCGACTTTTGTCGAAAAAGCGAGACATAGCGATCCTACATTCCGTCGGCGTCGTCGTCGTCGGCGGCGTCCACAAATATTCACTCTGTGGTTAAAGTTTTTGAAATTTTAATAACTTTCTTGAAATATCCTGGATTTCTACCAAACTTGGACAGAAGCTTGTTTATGATCATAAGATAGTATCCAGAAGTAAATTTTGTTAAAAAAAAATTCCATTTTTTCCGTATTTTACTTATAAATGGACTTAGTTTTTCTGCCAGTTAACATTACATTCACTCTGTGGTTAAAGTTTTTAAAATTTTAATAACTTTCTTGAACTATCCTGGATTTCTACCAAACTTGAAAAGAAGCTTGTTTATGATCATAAGATAGTATCCAGAAGTAAATTTTGTTAAAAAAAAATTCCATTTTTTCCGTATTTTACTTATAAATGGACTTAGTTTTTCTGCCAGTTAACATTACATTCACTCTGTGGTTAAAGTTTTTAAAATTTTAACAACTTTCTTAAAATATTCTGGATTTCTACCAAACTAGGATAGAAGCTTGTTTATGATCAAAAGCTAGTATCTAGAAGGAAATTTGTTAAAATTTTATTCCATTTTTTCCGTATTTTACTTATAAATGGACTTAGTTTTTCTTCCAGTTAACATTACATACAGTCTGCAGTTTTAAGTTTTTAAAACATTTATTAGATTCATAAACTATCCTGGATTTTTACCAAACTTGGACAGAAGCTACTTACAATCAAAAGATAGTATAGAGAGGAATATCTTAATTAAAGTTTTTTCCTAATTTTTGTTGAGCCTGCGATTAACAGCAAAAGTAGGCAAGACACTGGGTTCCGCGGAACCCTTACAAATTTTCTAGTTTCCAGACAATAACTTGTGTTCAAGTGTATGGACCACTCTGAAATTGTACTGCAAGGTACCATACCACAAAGGGAAGGCTGGGATTGATTTTGGGGGTAATTGCTTCCAAATTGTAGGAATTAGGGGCCAAAAAAGGGGCAAAAAACAAGCATTTTTCTAGTTTCAGGACAATAACTTGTGTGTAAGTGTATGGATCTTTATGAAATTGTACTACAAGGTTCCATATCACAAAGGGAAAGCTGGGTTTGATTTTGGGGGTAATTGCCCTAAACGTTTAGGAATTTGGGGCCAAAAAGGGGCCAAAGAACAAGCATTTTTCTAGTTTCCAGACAATAACTTGTGTTCAAGTGTATGGATCTCTCTGAAATTGTACTGCAGGTACCATACCACAAAGGGAAGGCTGGGATTGAGTTTGGGGGTGATGAATCATAAGGGGGTTCAAAAAATTTGGGGGGGGGGATTTTTTTTTCTTTAAAATTTTCCATTTTAAATTGGTTATTTCTGATTTATATATAAAAGCAAATAATAATGATATGGTTTGAATAGGTAAATTAAAAATTTTAAGTTTTTAGACCACATTCATTCTGTGTCAGAAACCTGTGCTGTGTCAAATATTTAATCACAATCCAAATTCAGTGCTGTATCAAGCTTGAGTGTTGTGTCCATACTTGCCCCAACTGTTCAGGATTCGACCTCTGCGGTCGTATCAAGCTGTGCCCAGCGGAGCATTTTATTGCTATTTGTTTGCTAGTTCTAGTATGAAATATTTTTTAGCTGTTTCTAGAAACATCAGATACTGTGATTTAAATACATTTAATATTATAATAGTGTATATCAAAGGTTTCAATGGTAATAAAATTGGTGTATAGTATGGTTGTAAGTTGTCCATGTCTGTCTGGCACAAATTACACAAAAGTATTTATAAAAAAAGGTATTTATGAATTTGAAAACAAGCATGAAAAATGAGATAACTTAGTTGTACAGTTGTAGTGATGAATCTAAATTGCTTACTATTTATATAGAAAAATAATATTTGATAAGTTTGCCAGATTGCCAATGAATCAACTATCCAACACCCAAAAACGAAGAATGTAAGAAACTATAGGTCACCATATAGCCTTCCAAAATGAGCAAAACACATACTGTATAATAAGCTATTACTATTAAAAGGCCAAAATATGACAAAGTGAATCAGTTCAAATGAGAAAACTAGGTGAAGTTTAAAATCACAATATCTAAAACCTGGGTGATCTCAGATGCTCTCAGATGCTCAGGAAGGACATTCAATGTTTTTCAGTCATATTTAATAAAACAACTCCCTAATAATGTACTAACATACAATATAACCAGGATGTGTGATTTTAAAAGAGCTTGGTGCAAACAGTATTCATTTGATTATTGAAAGAAATTAAACTTCATATGTCAAACACGTTTTGAAACAAAACAGGAGTAGCATTATTTCTGGTCCTTTAATATACTGCAACGAACAATTAAGTAATTCCAAAGGCAAGTATTGTACTTGATTTGGAACTTTTTGAGTTGATCAATAAGTTTCAGATGATTTTTATGCCCCCGCCATAGCGGAGGGGGCATTAAGTTTTACCCTTGTCCGTCTGTACGTCCTTACGTCCCAAAATTGGTTTCCGTTCTCTAACTTGAGTTTGCCTCAACCAAATGTTATCAAACTTATACACAATGCTTATTACCACACAACACAGATCAAGTTTGAATTTTGGTGGTGTCACTTTAACCGTTCTAGAGTTATGCCCCTTTATAAATGGAAAAATTGCAAAATTTTTAGTTTCCGTTCTCTAACTTAAGTTTGCCTCAACCATTTGTTATGAAACCTTTACACAATGCTTATTACCACAAAACACAGATAAAGTTTGAATTTTGGTGGTGTCACTTTAACCGTTCTAGAGTTATGCTCCTTTATAAATGGAAAAATTGCAAAATTTTTATTTTCTTCTAAATATCAAGTAATTTTTAAAATTGGAGTTATCTTCCTCTGTCCATGATTATAGTTGAATCAACTACAATCAATGCTTAATACAATGCAATGTTTAATTTTGATTTTCACTGATAAAACGCAGATCAAGTTGAATTTGGATAGTGTCACTTTAACCATTATTGAGTTATGCCCTTTATAAATTGAAAGATTCCAAAATTTTTAGTTTCCATTCTGCAACTTAAGTTTGCCCCAACCAAACATTATGAAACCTATACACAATATTCATTACCACAAAACTAAGATCAAGTATATATTTCTTGTTTCCGTTTTCTTACTTTAGTTTGCCTCAACCAAATGTTATGAAACTTAAACACAAAACTTATTATTACTTAATACAGTTTAAGTACAAAATTTGGTGGCGACACTTTTACCCTTCTTGAGTTATGTCCCTTTATAAACATAAAAATTGCTGAATTTTTCGTTTCCGTTCTCTAATTTTAGTTTGTCTCAACCAAATGTAATAAAACTTATACACAACCGTTCTAGAGTTATGCGTGTTTACAAATAGAAATATTGCTGAATTTTTATACGACCGCAAAAAATTTTTTGGGATCGTATAATGGTATGATGTCGTCGTCGTCCGAAGACACATTGGTTTCCGGACAATAACTTTAGTTTAAGTAAATGGATCTTTATGAAATTTTTTAAGAAGGTTCAATACTACAAAAGGAAGGTTGTGATTGATTTTGGAGATGATGGTCCCAACCGTTTAGGAATTAGTGGCCCAAAAGGGGCCCAAAACAAGCATTTTTCTAGTTTCAGGATAATAACTTGAGTATAGTTATTTCGATTGCTCTGAAATTGTACCACAATGTTTAATACCACTAGTAGAAGGTTGGGATTCATTTTAGGGGTTATGGGGCCAACAGTTTAGGAATTAAGAGCCAAAAACAAGCATTTTTCTTGTTTCCAGACAATAACTTGTGTGTAAGTGTATGGATCTCTCTGACATTGTACCACAAGGTTCCTTATAACAAAGGGAAGGCTGTGATTGAGTTTGGGGTTAATTGCCCCAAACATGTAGGAATTAGGGGCCAAAAAAGGGCCAAAAACAAGCATTTATCTAGTTTCCAGACAATAACTTGTGTTTAAGTGTATGGATCTCTCTCAAATTGTACTACAATGTTCCATACTACAAAGGAAAGGCTGGGATTGAGTTTTGGGGTTATTGCTCAAAGGGGGGTTTCAAAAAGTTGGGGGGGGGGGGATTTTTTTTTCCAATTTTTTTAAGGGATTCATATTTTTTTTTCAAAATTTTTCAAATTTCAAATTTTTGAAAAGTTTCAAGAAGAAATCTTCAATTGCACAGTCATATGACATCATATGTGTCCACATTTATTTAATTTTAGCCATGACTATTTCTATTTTAATACTTTTATGATGTATTTAAATGGGCTTTTATGGTTAAAAAAAAAGCATTTTTCTAGTTTCCAGACAGTAACTTGTGATCTCTCTAAAATTGTACTACAAGGTTCCATACTACAAAGGAAAGACTGCAATTGAGTTTGATGGTTAATGCTAAAAGGGGGATTCAAAAAGTTTGGGGGGAAGGGGGGGGGGGGGTTACCATTTTTTTTTTAAAAGGATTCATATTTTTTTTTCAAAATTTTCAAAAAGTTTCAAGAAGAAATCTTCAATTGCACAGTATTGCGCATTAGATTTGTAAGATCTTTGACCACATTTATTTTGTGTCAGAAACCTATATTATGTCAAAAATTTGATCACAATTCAAATTCAGATAGTATCAAGCTTGAGTATTGTTTCCAAATTTGCCCCAACTGTTCAGGGTTCGACCACTGCAGTTGTATCAGGCTGCGCTCAGCGAAGCATTTTATTTTTTGATGAAGTGAACTCCTTTAATTAGATGATAATCTATTTTTATTAAAGGATATATTTCATTACATTATATTGTGTAGATAAAGTTGTTGACATTGATAGATAAGTTGCAGATCTATATTAGTTTGTGACAAATGAAAGAAAAAAAAAATTGAACTATTAATTATATTTGATTATAATTTGAAAATAGATATACATTGTGTAACATCATATATAATTTAAGAAAATAGTGGTTAATTCATACATACCTGCCAACCTCTGAAACCTTCAAAGAGGGAGATCTCATGACAGCTGAGGGGGAGATTTTGCGAGAACGACATTTTCAAGTTAAATATATGACCTGTTTACGTATTCATCTACAAAACACCAATAAGAGTTAATAAATAAACTGTATTTTTTCAATTCATGGTTATAATCTATACATAATGTTTTTTTTTTTTTTTGTATGATAACATAAATTTATGTTAGCGATTCTTGTAGTGATATCATCTACTCAGTAAGTTTCTTTAAGTTCACACATGTAAGAGTCTTCTCCCCTTGTCAAAATGGCGGACCATTAAGGACATAAATTGGAAGGACCATCACCGTTATGTTTATTTTCAATATTCACCGATTTCCAACCGCACGATTTTGTAAGACTTTTTTAATGTTAAAGTGCTATGATAATCTCATATGATATTCAAAAAAATCAGTTCTGTTGCAATTTGTTTAGATTGAATGTGTAGACGAACTAGACTATGAAACTTACTTGTTAGATAAGAGATAATTTTGTGTAAAAAATGTTGTTAAGGTAACAGGTACATAAATGGGCAATCTCATGGAATTTTATGAAATTTTGCATGCAATTTGAGCATCTGTAACTGCATATAAATATCGAAAAAGTATATATGTAACTTTTATACTTTCGGATATATAGCAAATTGAATATTCTATAGAAAGAAGTACAAATGTATAGGATGCACGGAAATATAAAAAAAAAAAAAAATTGAATAATTTGACTTTAAATTGCCTTTTCTCAAAAACGTGTCCTATGAATTTTCTTTAAAATTGATATGTTATTGCCACTAAAATTTACGTTTTATTGATGTGAAATTTATAGGGGGTCACTGAATTCAGTTTTGCTGTATAAATTATTCAAGTGTGTCTGTAATATCTAAAAACATTGAAAATATGATTTCTAGTCACGACGTCACGATTATTTTTGCCTTTTCAGCAATTTTTCCAGGCTGTACAGAAGATTCAACAATTCAAACTCAAAAAACGAATTCGGTGACCCCCTATAAATTTTATATTAATAAAATGGAAATTTCAGTAACAATAACATCATTTTTAAAGAAAATTCATAAGACAGGATCAAGAAATGTTAATTTAAAATCAAAAATCAAAATTGCTGTACTTTTTTACGATATTTACGTGTATTCTATACATTTGTACTACTATTTTCTGGATATTTTAATTGCTATATATCAGAAAATATAAAGTTTATATATATAATTTGTTCGATGTTCATGTGCAGTTCCTCATGCTCTAATTATATGCAAAATTTCATAAAATTCTGCGAGATCATCCATTTACGTACCTGTTACCTTAATGTGATATGAAATATATGATAATGAAACACAAACAGTCAGGTAACAGTTAAAGATGTTGAATATGATGGAAGAAGCCAAAATATCAGCTTCCCCAACCAGATTGATGTTCTGATATTTGTTTTTCCAGATATATAGCTTAATTCATTCTAAATGCACATTACATTGTTAAATATTTATAAGTTTTATATAATTAGGAAATAGAGAGCCAGTTACAACAAGATAATGATTCTGCTAATGAACAGATAAAGTCAATGGAAGAGAATTTGCAGGAAGAAAAAAGAATACGGCTAGATTTTGAACAGGAGATTCTCAATCAAAAGCAGGTGAGATAGACGCAAAAAAATATCCACAATTTAGTTTCAAATGACCATTGAAATTCCTATTATATAGACTTATAACTCAAAAAGTATTTGCTTCATATCATAACACTGTTGATAACAAAGCTATTGAGTTGAGTTTGACAATGAATACATTACAATTCAAAAATAGGCCATATAGATGTAGATTCTAGCACTACCTTGATAGTGATACAATATTTCTTTTCCCCATAGACAGTTGAATTTTCAAATTATAAATGCAAGGCTTGTTGAGCTTTTAAAATAGTTAAATTTTAACTATCTAGAGTGGAGAAATGTCATATAGCATGAGATTCTGTGGTTGATTCTGTTTCTCTGACGTTTTTTTAGTCCCCTACCTACGAAGTTGAAGGGGACTTTAGGTTTGCACTCCGTCTGTCTGTCTGTCAATCCGTCAGTCCGGCAAATCAGTTTTCTGTATTTTTTTTCTTCATGCTTGAAGATATTGATTTGATATTTGTTATATTGTTTTATCATGACAAGTTACAGATCAAGTTCAAATTTTGTTCCGGTCTGATGATTTTGTGCAGAGTTATGGTCTGTGGACTTAGAAAATTCACTCAAATAATCAGTTTTCCGCACTTTTTTTCGTCATGCTTGAAGATATTGATTTGATCATTGGTGTATAGTTTTTTATCATGACAAGTTACAGATCAAGTTCGAATTTTGTTCCGGTCTGATGATTTTGTGCAGAGTTATGGTCCTTGGACTTAGAAAATTTACTCAAATAATCAGTTTTCCACACTTTTTTTCGTCATGCTTGAAGATATTGACTTGATATTTGTTATATAGTTTACAGCATGACAAGTTATAGATCAAGTTAGCATTTTGTTCCAGTACAATGAATTTTTAATCGGTAGGGGACTATGTATTGCCATGCAATACTCTCAGAATGCTTGTAAGATTATATGTTGGCAAACTTATATTTCTTTTCAATGATCTTCAAAAAGATGTGTTTTTTCTAGAAAAAAGTTAAATCACAAAAATACTGAACTCTGAGGAAAATTCAAAACGGAAAGTGCCTAATCAAATGGCAAAATCAAAAGCACAAACACATCAAATGAATGGACAACAACTGTCATATTCCTGACTTGGAACAGGCATTTTCTTATGTAGAAAATGGTGGATTGAACCTCGTTTTATAGCACTAAACCTCTCACTTGATGATGTTTTCAGGCATGGTAGCCTTTTTTTCTTGACTCACAATAACAAATTTAGAGAAAAATTGGATGTCATAACTGAATTTTTACTAATAAAAAAACTGAAACCAAACAAACCACACCTTCATGACCTTGATTATGAAAAAATAATCACTGGGTCAATGAAAGAATAAATGAGCCAAGAATTAGGGAACATTGAACTAAATTAAACAGTTTTTCAAAAGGTCTGTCAAAGATTCGAATGTACCTACACATAAAATCAACTTACGCTTAATCGTTTGGATGTTTATAGTTAATTCTTTAGTCTGGGAGAATATGATGTATTATGTCATCTTAAAATGAATGTGTTTTAGTCTTGACAGCAAGATCATCTAAAACTCACTGTAGTTGTGTTGTTACCTCCCTTAAAAAGAAAAATTGCTACCAGCAATGTGTCCATACCGACACATCTTGTTCATAAAATATTACACTAGTAAACCATGCAATCAAAACCCTTATGAGACTGCCTTGATCGTTATCAATTTTCAAGACTTTATCACTACTTGTGAAATAAAATACCAGTGATTTTGGGGGTAATTGCCTCAACATAAGGAATAAGGGGCCAAAAAAGGGGTAAAAACAATGACAATAACTTGTGTGTAAGTGTATGGATCTTTCTGAAATTGTACTACAAGGTACCATATCACAAAGGGAAAGCTGGAATTGAGTTTGGGTGTAATTGCCCAAAACGTTTAAGGAATAAGGGGCCTAAAAGGGACCAAAAATAAGCATTTTTCTAGTTTCCAGCCAATAACTTGTGTTCAAGTGTATGGATCTCTCTGAAATTGTACTGCAAGGTACCATACCACAAAGGGAAGGCTGGGATTGAGTTTGGGGATGACGAATCAAAAGGGGGTTCAAAAAATTTGTGGGGGAGGGATTTTTTTTTCCTTTTTTATACGACCGCAAAAAAATTTTTGTGGTCGTATATTGGTATGACGTTGGCGTCGTCGTCGTCGTCTGGCGTCGTCCGGCGTCGTCCGAAGACACATTGGTTTTCGCACTCTTACTTTAATTTAAGTGAATGGATCTCTATGAAATTTTACCACAAGGTTCAATACCACAAAAGGAAGGTTGGGATTGATTTTGGGGGTTATGGTACCAACAGTAAAGGGATTAGGGGCCAAAAATAAGCATTTTTGTAACTTCCAGATATAACTTGTGTGTAAGTGTATGGATCTCTCTGACATTGTACCACAAGGTTCCATATCACAAAAGGAATGCTGGGATTGATTTTGGGGGTAATTGCCTCAAAATTTTAGAAATTAGGGGCCAAAAAAGGGGCAATAAACAAGCATTTTTTTAGTTTCATGACAATAACTTGTGTGTAAGTGTATGGATCTTTCTGAAATTGTACTACAAGGTTCCATATCACAAAGGGAAAACTGGAATTGAGTTTGGGGGTAATTGCCGAAACGTTTAGGAATTGGGGGCCAAAAAGGGGCCAAAAATAAGCATTTTTCTAGTTTCCAGACAATAACTTGTGTTCAAGTGTATGGATCTCTCTGAAATTGTACTGCAAGGTACAATACCACAAAGGGAAGGCTGGGATTGATGATTGGGGTAATTGCCTCAATATTTTAGGAATTAGGGGCCAAAAAGGGGCAAAAAACAAGCATTTTTCTAGTGTCAGGACAATAACTTGTGTGTACGTGTATGGATCTTTCTGAAATTGTACTACAAGGTGCCATATCACAAAGGGAAAGCTGGGTTTGAGTTTGGGGGTAATTGCCCTAAACGTTTAGGAATTTGGGACCAAAAAGGGGCCAAAAAACACATTTTTCTAGTTTCCAGACAATAACTTGTGTTCAAGTGTATGGATCTCTCTGAAATTGTACTGCAAGGTACCATACCACAAAGGGAAGGCTGGGATTGAGTTTGGGGGTGATGAATCATAAGGGGGTTCAAAAAATTTTGGATGGGGGGATTTTTTTTTTTTTCCTTTTTTTTCTTTTTTTCCTTTTTTTTTTCTTTTAAAATTTTCCATTTTAAGTTGGTTATTTCTGATTTATATTTAAAAAGCAAATAATAATGATATGGTAGGAGATACACACCAAATAGGATGTGTAAATTATTATATAATAAGTATTGTGCAATAGCAAGAAATTTTCAATTGCACAGTATTGCACAATAGCAAGAAATCTTCAATTGCACAGTATTGCGCAATAGCAAGAAATCTTCAATTGCACAGTATTGCGCAATAGCAAGAAATATCCAATAGCACAATATTGCGCAATAGCAAGAAATTGTCAATTGTACAGTATTGCGCAATAGCAAGAAATATTTAATTGCACAGTATTGTGCAAAAGAAGATACTTCGTATAAATTGCTTATTTCTTGACCAATTTCAATGGGGTTTTATTCTTGAATTCTTGGGGTTCTTTAATATGCTGAATCTAACCGTGTATTTAGTTTTTGGATTTTGGGCCCTGTTTTTTAATTGGTCCACATTGAGGTCCAAAGGGTCCAAAATTAAAAATTCTTTGATTTCATCATAAATTGAATTATTGGGGTTCTTTGATATGCCGAATCTAACCGTGTATTTAGATTCTTAATTTTTGGTTCCGTTTTCAAATTAGTCTACATTAAGGTCCAAAGGGTCCAAAATTAAACTTAGTTTGATTTTAACAAAAATTGAATTCTTAGGGTTCTTTGATATGCTGAATCTAAACATGTATTTAGATTTTTGATTATGGGCCCAGTTTTCAAGTTGGTCCAAATCGGGGTCCAAAATTAAACTTTGTTTGATTTCAACAAAAATTGAATATATGGGGTTCTTTGATATGCTGAAACTTACCATGTATTTAGATTTTTGATTTTTGGGCCCCGTTATCAACTTTGTCCACATTGAGGTCAAAAGGGTCCAAAATTAAACTTTGTTTGATTTCATCAAAAATTGAATTCTTGGGGTTCTTTGATATGTTGAATCTAACCATGTATTTAGATTTTGGATATTGGACCATAATAGGTGAATGTCCAATTTAAAATTTTTAAGTTCTTAGACCACATTCATTCTGTGTCAGAAACCTATGCTGTGTCAAATATTTAATCACAATCCAAATGCAAAGCTGTATCAAGCTTGAATGTTGTGTCCATACTTGCCCCAACTGTTCAGGGTTCGACCTCTGCGGTCGTATCAAGCTACGCCCTGCGGAGCATTTTATTTTATTTTTTTTCCTTTTTTTCCTTTTTTCATTTTCTTTAAAATTTTCCATTTTAAGTTGGTTATTTTTGATTTATATATATAAAAGCAAATAATATTGATATGGTTTGATTTCATCAAAAATTGAAATATTGGGGTTCTTTGATATGCTGAATCTAACCGTGTATTTAGATTCTTAATTTTTGGTCCCGTTTTCAAATTGGTCTACATCAAGGTCGAAAGGGTCCAAAATTAAACTTAATTTGATTTTAACAAAAATTGAATTCTTGGGGTTCTTTGATATGCTGAATCTAACCGTATATGTATTTAGATTTTGGATATTGGACCATAATAGGTAAATTAAAAAATTTAAGTTCTTAGACTACATTCATTCTGTGTCAGAAACCTATGCTGTGTCAAATATTTAATTACAATCCAAATTCAGAGCTGTATCAAGCTTGAATGTTGTGTCCATACTTGCCCCAACTGTTCAGGGTTCGACCTCTGTGGTCGTACCAAGCTGCGCCAAGCGGAGCATTTTATTATACGACCGGAAAAAAATTTTTGTGGTCGTATATTGGTATGATGTTGGCGTCGTCGTCGTCGCCATCCGAAGACACATTATT